GTTTATCAGGACTTGTTGCCTTGGCCAGAAATGCTGCTTGCAGTCAAAACTTGATATAACAGAGTTTCAAGTTATAAGTTAATTATCCTGTATTTGATTTATGGCAAGACGAAAAAGGTTTTATAGGAATCTTCATTGTTAATTATCCTTGATGTCAGCCAGTTATTCTTAAATCGCTTTATTATTTTGGCAACAGTGTTTTAAAACTTCAAATAGAGAAAGGCAATTTCAGAAGTTATTTTTGAAGAGCTGTAACTTATTTTGTAGCAAGTGAATCTGAGGGATATTAGCTTGTGTATTTTTGGTTAAGGAACATTTAAATGAGAGAATGGTTGAAGGATTATGTCTGGATGGGTGTTCTTAGAAAAAAAAAAAATGAGGAGGCAGAAAATCACAATTTAGGATTCTCTGTATGTGGGATTTGTGTTGTTTCTAGCAGAGTAAATAACTGGTATGTTTCTGTTTGGAAGTTTTGTGATGTTGTTGCAGCGCCTGAGGACGTTTTTGGCCCATTCTCCTGAGCTGATCTTCCTGCTTGGTGCACGTTTCACCCCTTGCCCATAGGAGATGCCGGCGCTCGCAGCACAGGAGCCCCTTGCCAGGAACGGAGCCCTGGTCCGTAGTGCAGCCTGTGAGGAGGCCACGAGGCAGCCCCGGGCTGGAGAGGCAGCCCAGGAGCAGCAGCCCTCGGTGAAATGCTCCCGCATCGCTAGGCAAGTGCAAAGGGGGGAGACTTGGCTTGTGAAAACATGTATTTACTAGAAGCTTTCTGCCAGAACCATCTCGGAGGAAATAATATTGGCAGCCTACTGATTCTCATTACATTCCCATCAAGGAGAATTTTTGTGTTATTATATTTGAAAGCTGTAGTTTCTTTCACTTTTTCCAGATTTGCAGATTTTTTTTTTTTTAGGTCATGTAGGATAAGGACTAAATGTCTATGATAAAAAAAGTACATTCTGGAACATGGTTGATCACTTGCAGGATCCACAACCTCTGAAATGAAAATGCAATTATCCGATAATGCACTTCTGTGAATACCCATTAGCAGCAACATGTTTGCCTGTTTTGATTTTTTGTATGTGTTGCAATAATTTATTAAACCAGATTTTTTGAATGTCTTTGGCTTCATGCTTTGGGCTTTCATGCCTTTGCTATACACAGGCAGCTACCCAAGTGTGTGCTGCATCTGATGTTTCCTTGAAGATCAGCTCTGTTACTCTGATGAATTTTTAATATAAAAACTGTATTCCTACCTTTTTCTTCAGTGTCGCCCCAGTCGTGTTCCAAGTAAGGAAAACACAAACACTTTGCTTTGTACCTTGGAGCTTTTTGTTGTTGTTCCATGCCAGCATAAGGAAACTAGTATCAAACTGGTGTTTTGCTTTTGCCTTGAAACTTAATATCAGATGTATTTTTATAGATGATACATCATGGTGGGAAAGCCATAAATTTTAAGTAGGCAAAAGTGATGTCTGTAGCAGCAATGTTGCAGGAAGCACAAACAGCAGTAGAAGCTGCGGAGCCTCCCTCTGGAGGATTTGGGGTCCCATTGGGATGGGATGGCGATCGGGAATTTTCAGGAGACTTGAAAGTCCTGACCCCGAACTTGTGTTTCCAAGCCAAGGTGTGCATGGAACAGGAGGGTTTTTTGTTTATTTTTGTTTTTGGAGTTGGAGTGGCTCCAAATGGATGGAAGAAGGTATAGAAAAGTCAAGAGCCAGCCTGGGAGGAGGTATGTTGTTTCTGATTTGGGTCCCATGACGCTTATTGGGGAAAAGGTAGAAATTTTCTGTGTGTGTCCTCAAGCAGCTTCTTTTTGACTTCAAAATTAAATCTTTTCTGTAAATCCTTCTCATATGGGATAAGCTCTGCTTGTCAGAGCTTAACCACTGGTAATGTCTGTCTGTATTTTCGGTATTTGGTGCAATTAAAGTTAAGTTGCTTGTGAACTTGCTTGATAAAACTGGCTGGATCAACCTGCTGCTCTTCCTTTGCAGCAGGTAATTCCCTCTTGCAATTTAATCTTGTTCCAATATGTATAGAAATTCTGAAACACCCAAAGGGAAGACATAAACTCACTTCCTAGTCAACCTTGTACGTGAGGCCCATAAAGATGCTTGTCACCTATCTGTGTCGGCTACGTTTCCCTGTGGCTCTGAGTTTGTCACATTTATGACAGAGACCCAGTACTGACATTTTGCTGAATGTTATTGTGTTTATGCTTAGAAAGAGAATATGAACTGTGGAAGATTAAGCCATGTGCTTCTAAACTGTTTTCAGTGCTTTTTCTTCCACCAAGAAATATACATATATGTGTGTTTTAACGAGCATAGCGGTGTCTGTCTGACAAAGCTATGACGATCTCCATTATGTTTCTTTTTTTTAATGGATATATCTGTGAGCATGTTTTTGACATTTTTCAGGCAGTAACATTATCATGTGCTCTAATAAAACACGTGTGCGTTGTTCATCTCATAGAGGATTTGCACATTTTTGTGGCATTTCTTTCACGTTTTTTTGATAATAGTACGCTAGGTGACCGTGTCAAAACCTGGGAAAATCTCCAGGCCTTAGGCTTCCTGATATTTGTGTGTTTAACCACTAGATGGGGGAGGTGACTGTGAAGAGAGAGGAGACAGAGCACAAAGTGCCGTGCGTGCAGCTCCGAGGGCGAGGATGTACAGAAAGAGATGGAAAAAAAGATCGCAGCAAAAAAGTGCAACACAAGCACTTCTGTTCCAATCTGGTTGCTTCATTAAGAGCTGTACCATAAACCTGTAAAGATGTCCTCTGTATTAAATTAAAAGAGCAAAATGGAAATACTTCTAGTTTGATCCTAACTTTCACTGATCATTTTCCTACTGGTTACTAGCACTGTTCAGATCAGTGAAAATAAAGCTTGCTTTCTTACCCATCTGTTCTGAACTGTTCTAAACGTGCATCAAAAATGTAGAAACTTTCCTGGCAAAAGATACTTCCTCCCACCTCCCGAAAATCAGTCTCTGAAATGCCATAGAATTTTAACTCCAAAAACTAAATAATGAATTTATGCTAAGTGCTTACTTAGCCCAATTCAGAAGTTTAAAATATAAACATTTTTTTCCCTCTCTCTCTCTCTCTCTCTCTCTCTCTGAACTGCTTTAAACTAAGGCCCTCTTTCTTGTCACGCACAGACAGGGAAATACTGCAAGATGCTGGATTAGCTTGTTCGCTTTTCATTGTTTTCTTTTGTAGCAGCAATCCGTTTAGCTATGGTATGCTGAGTTTATCTGATTAGCACTTAATGAGTAAAGGGAATAGGGGAAATGTCGCCAGAGTTACTTAAGCCAAAGAAAGTTTTCAGTACCTTCCCCCTCTCTGCAAATACCTGAACTTTGCTGACCCTCCCTTGCTTTTGTCCTTGCACTGCAGCCCTTTCCCCTGTGAAAAGGGCTCCTGCTGCAGCTTGAGCTGTCAGAGCAGCGCTGCGATTAGCTGGATTTTGTTCAGTGCACATTGATCACAACAGCCATCCTGCTCAACAGGGTTTGACAGTCTGTCTGGAGCTCTTACAGCTTCAGCTGCCGCAGTTGTGCTGACTTTCCTGCCATACCCGGGAACATTTACAGAATAAAAAAGTAATCGTCTGTAGCAGGAGTGCTTCTAAAATAGATTTTAAAATTAAAACCATTAAGTATGACTGTAAGCAATAAAATGATTTATTAAGGTCAGAAGTGACATTTTAATGAGGATTCACTGGAGTTTGAACCATTATGTGGTATTAAGAAATTCAAGAAAGCTGAGATTTAGTAATACTTATAATCGGTGTGTGCCATACAGGTTGTGGTTCTGTTACTGCGATTAACTCGGTAAGTTTCTTGCATAACTCATGTTTTCCTCTGCACTTCAACTTGAGCCCCCTCTTTGGGGATTACTCTGTTTCAGTTTGACATTGCACTGTAAAAATTTTAATAGGAAAGTGAAATTCTGAGAAAATTGAGAGAACATCTGTGTTAGTTTATGCTGCTTAACTGTATCATAAGTGATTGCATTAGTTTTACACAGAAATGTAAAGTTGTCTTAATGCCAGTGAAAATAGGCCTGTGGAAGGTAGGACTGACTTGCATGGGGAATTGTATTTTGGTTATGCCTAGAAAGTTCTGTTGTAATAATTGCACAGCAATAAAAATGTGTAAAGTGAGTCATCAATAAAGCAACAGTATCGCTGAGGAAGTGTAATAGAGAGTAATGTTATTCTATGTTATATAATATTATATTATGTAATAACATTGAAAATATTACAAGCTTTACTTGCTTAACAGTATTTTTGACAGAATTTCTTTTCCCTTACGTTTCTTTTCTTGTTATCAGTGTCCCCACTCTCTCAAAATTAAAAAAAAAAAAAGTTACCATGGACAGATAGAATAGCAGTAGTGATCCTGTAAGAACAGCATATGCACAAATATCTTTAAATAATGTAATAATTAAATAATTTAAACATACAGAAACAAAGCTAGAGGTAGCGAAACGCCCCATGGCACCTGAGGAGGGTTGTGGAGACGGCGAAGGCCTGTTGGGATGGGCCCTTCCCACCACGTGGCACATCCCGAGGAGGTGCCCCCCGGCGCAGGCGCCATCCCTGGCGCGGGTCGAGGTCTCGGTGCCTCGCAGTGCTGAACACAACGGGTTGGGTTAAACCGCTGTCCATCCCAGAGCCAGTCGGGAAGTGTCGCTGATTTATGTGAATTGAATTTTGGAGGAACATCCCTGTTTGGTCACTTCGCTGGCAGCCCAGTGTCGTGTAAGCTTCTTGTTTCCATTATTGCTGTGTTTTGTTTTGTTTTTTTTCCTACTCCTGAATGTGTACAGGTCATGTCAACCTTCTAAGCAGCCATCAAGGTGGAAGAAAAACAGGTGTTAATGAGTGATTTAGCTATTGAAATATTTTGTAATTTGCTTCAACAGTTTATTCAAATCGCAAAAAGTATGTGTGTGTGTTTTTTCTTTTCCCCTCTCAGGTTTGCAATTATGTGTGGCTATATGTCTCAGTTTGAAAGTGTACAAAACAAAATCAGGAATGGTTATCTCTTTAAGGTATGTGTTTTGTAGGGTTGCATTTTTTTTTTATATTCGTTTGCTTTTTTGTTCTTTTTAAGCTATTCCTGTAATTTTATTTCCTCATGTATTGTCAAAGATGGATTTTTCCAGCACTATATTCATCCTCAAAGGTGTATTTTGGTGCCCAGGTTAAAGAAAAGGAGTTATTTTTATGTACGTGCGTAGGTGATATGCTGACAAAATACAAGAACTGTCCTTGTTGACAGGGCATGGGGTCTTGCTGGACACTCCTGGGAGAGCTGTTAATTTTGTCTCAGCTGTCCCACATGTCAGGGCCTGGTAGGAGCAAAGCAAAACTGCTGTGATATTGTGTAAAAGGGGACATGTAACAGAGAAGTGCTGCTGCTGTTGAAGGATGGAGCTTAAAAGAAGCCTGCAGTTGGACCTTTTCAGTGAGGTCCTTCTCTTCAGAACTATTTGCTGGATGCCATGCAAATCATCTGGGGCCATGGAGACTTTGGGGAATACAGGAGCATGAAAAAGTAGCTCTATGTCTGAACAGTTGTGGACAAACTGATGAAATAATAGGCTCGCAGATCAGTATAATTTGGATATTTTACTGATTGACTTAATTAGCAAAACAGAGATATCTGGGGAAAAAAACGGCTATTTAAGAGAAATTTATTTTGAGAGGCAAATAGAAGTTAGCGATGCAATAATGTATTCTTTTATTCTTTGAAATCAGGTTAAGCAACAAGAGCATTGGGCAGTGAATTGAGCAGAGAAATAAAAAACTAATGACCTGTAATGAAAATATTTTTTAAAGAAGCACCCTATTAGATAGTTCCTGGGTTTTCTTGGTTCATTGTAGCAGAACCATTTTATTTCCTGTATTTTTCCTACATTAAAGCAACAATTTATTGCCTTATGAATCATACCATTAGGACAGAGATGCTCCAGGATGGCAGGGATTGGTGCTGGGTTGTAAGATAATGTCCAAGGGAATAATTGCATTCCTAGAGATTTGGTGTGCTATTGTTTGATAGTGGTAACTATGCAGTTCATATAACTAAAGTTGTTGCCTTTCTAAGACAAAAGTTCTTGAGCTGTTTGGTCGACCCTTGTTGCTGCTCAGTCATGGTCTAGATGCAACACGGTTTGCTGCATGGTGTGCCAAGTTGCTCAGTAATTTTGTTTGTGGTTTTCCTTCATAAAGAAGGGTTTTGCTGATCAAAATAATATTAGGATATTAGAACAAAATTAAAGCAGAAGAGAGCTTCAAAATTTGTGAATGATTTACAGTGAATTTCTTAGAATGTAAACACACTTGCCAAGCAAACATCTCAAGTGACACTGATTTTTTTTCTAATAGGAGCACCTAGACAAAGCAATTGAACTTAAGCCTCAAGATCCTTTTTTATATTACCTAAATGGAAGATGGTGCTATTCTGTAAGTTGCTTTCTGTATCTAACGTATCATTTGAGTATACTGGAAAATAATAATGCGCTTGAAATGAAATATTTAGCATTTAAGATAAAATATATATTTATCGAAGTCGGTATTTTGTAACTAGATAAAATTATACATGCACATTTCTGAATTTTATTTCCTCATCGGTGATATTAGCGTTGTCCATTTTTATCATGTGTATTAAGTAAGCTACATGAAGTAAGCTACATTCATATGGCCTTCACTGCTGTATTCGGGTTTCTCGTTAAATATATAAATGAAAAGAAACAGGTATTTGGAAAAGAGGAAACATAACTTTGGATTTTGGAAGGGTTGTATTCAGCCCTTTGCTCTGCCACAGGCTTCCTGGGTGCCCTGGGGCAGTTAGCCCTAATGTGACTTCCTTGCCCACCTCTAACTAGTGACAGCAGGTCTGTGGCACAGTGGCTTGGTGAATTTCAGGTGAATGTCCCAGCAAAGATGCAGGTATACAATCTGTAACTTACCTCAAAATATCTGAGAAATACATTTTTGTTTGTTTGTTTTTGACAACGTATATGCTTTCTAAATATTTTGTTAATCACATAGTGATGAGTATTCACATATTCACATATGCAAAATTAAAATAATTGTTTGGCTTATATATTTAGGTGTTAGTTTTGTGGGGGTTTTTTTGTTTTGTTGTTCTTTTAATTGGTGATTTTGCTTGTAATTTGAGGGTTCCTTTATTCCTTGATAGCTCACATAGCTGTCCTTATCACTTCACCTTGCATGTTGTGCGGAATCTTAGAAGAAAATGTTCCTGCAAGGTCTACACTGTAAGAGATCATGAGGAGACCTGTCAAAACAGCAGCAGCCAGCATTAGGAGGACATCTCTTATTTCTCTCCAAAAATTCAAAGTTTGAGTGCTTCATATTAAAAGTCACATTCTGAAGCCACTGTATCCCTCTTGCAGTGGGATGTTTCCTTGAAGCACATTGGTTGAATCAAAAGCATATGCAGACATGAGATGCAAGTATCCGTGTAGATTGGGATCAAGCGTTCAGCATGCCTTGAAAAACTGAAATAGTTCAGAAAAATGGGCTGCCCCCCGTGCACCAAAGCACGCCAGCCTTTTAATTGCATTCACCAGGGGCTTCCTTCACTGACACATTCCTAGTTTTGCCTAGTTGGTGAGCTCAGGTCAATCACTTATCATTTTGAGTGCTCTAATTTGAGGCAGTTTGTTTTTCCTTCTGAATACTGAAAGTTGGTCTTGAAACTCATGCTTCACTTTCTGGAAGTATTCTGGTATGTATTTTTGCTGATCCGTGCAGGGAGACAAACACCTCTTCTGTTAGATTCTGGTTTTTAATCATCAGTCTTTTAAAATAATTACTTGTCAAAATTGACAACTTTAGCTTTGCTCTTCCTTAGTCCGCCGGTTATGGTACTGCTTTCTGGGATGTGATTGAGAAATTAATACTTTGAGGGCAGAAAAGATGGTGAAAGTTTCCTTTAACGCAAGAGTATTAACATACCTACCAGGGTGTTTACTTTTTTTCCCTCTACCTATGCCCCCGTGAGTTGGGAAGACATCATATGATGGTACATTTTGACCAAGCAGGTATATCGGTATATATATCCGGTATGCACAAGTCCTTCCTCACACATCTTTAAAGTAAATAAATAAGTAAACTACCGGCGGGGGGCGGGAAAAAGAAGTGATTTCCAGCCCTGCCTCTTTGTTTTTCACCTGCTCCCAAAGCCAGTCAGAGTGAAGTGCCTGCAGCCCAGTCAGAAGGAGCTGCTGGGGTGTCTAGCACACGGCAGCCTTTGACTGCGTCTGCACTGAGACTGAAGGCAAGGTGATCTTTCAGCACTTCTCTCAGATCGTGTATATGGCTTTCAGCAAGCTTTCAGCAACTACATTTTTCTTAGTTGATCCAAACAAGGTATGTCACCAGATTTTTCAAAGAGCTTTTCGTGCAGCTTTTCACCGTGACGTGCTCTGCAATGTCAGCACTGCCTATGCAAAAGTGAGTTCCTATAGGCTGTCCTGTCCTATACCTGCTGTGCTGCCGTTGAGGGAGTCTCTGACACTCCTATACTGTGCTGAGACCAACAGTTGGCTGCAGCTTGCATCTGTATCAGACACTCCCAGATGTTTCTCATGGCTTGTTTTTTGTTTGAGCTGTCTCTTTTGGATACTCTGTATGTAATCTCCATATATCCCACTTGCTTCTTATTACACTGTTCGTGTGTTTTTCTTTTAATCTTGTTTTACTTTAGTGACAAACTCCACTTCCTGACCGAGGGATGTGTTGCCCGTTGTGCCCTATCACTGTGCATACGTCTTCCACCCTCACAGCCCCATGTGTGCAGTGCTTCCCTACTGAACAGCAAAGCTGCAGGTTAGCATTTGCTTCAGGATAGGGCCTGACCAGCAGTTTTTAATTATTAAAAAAAAAAAAAGACAAAAGTCAACAATACACCTAATCAGATATAATTTGATGTATCCATTGGATTGCTTCAGGATTTTTTTTCTTTAATTCCTAGATCCTGTGGCTGTCTGGATGGCCATGGCAAAATAGTAACCTGAGGCACGTAGGACAGATTTGTATGCTGTAAATAAATGAAATTTTGTTACATTTTGTTTCAACTTCTGGGTCTGGTCAGCTCCTTATCACTTTCTGTGATTTATTCCTCCCTGAACGATAGGGGATGGATGTAGTTTCTATTTTCTAGCACTCTTCTGGCTGACAAGTTGACAGTCAGGTATAGCATAAGAAACTCTAAAATGGGATGCTTTTAGTGTTATTACTGAGCTGCAATTGATTTTCTTGAATGAAAATCATTTCAACATACGTTCAAGCATAAAAATGCGGTGGAGGCAAACATCAAGCATTGGCTGATGGCTGAAATCTGTGCTCAGAGCCCACGTGCTCTGCTGGGAGAGCAGTTTGGTTTGCAGCCTTGTGCCGGAGCTGGCTTTGGACTGCCCGTTCTCTCCTTCCTTGGGATGACCCAGCCCCACCGCGAGCAGCAGCAGGTTGTTCTGGGCTGCAGCAGTTCTCCCGGGACCAGATCCCTGCTGGTGCCACCGCTTTGCGAGGCCGAGGGCTCCGCTGCTGCCGCGCGGCCCTCGGACACCACCCGCTCCCAAGTCCCGTTCCTGACACTTGGGATTTTCCCTTGTCAGGGAAGACAGCTAGATTCTGTTCTAACTCGCTGATCATCTCAGGTTCATCAGAGAACTGCTTCTGGTAACAAAATCAGATAGGCAGTCTTTCTTCATAGACACCACGATTGGAAAAAAATTTCCTACGAGACTAACCATGCGTAGAGGAACCCACATAAAGCTCCAGTGTAGTGATGAGGAAAAGGAAAAGAATAATTAATGCATTTAGCAAACATAATTGAAGAATGTTAGAGATGAATAATCACAGAACCGTACAAAAGGTTGTTTTAATAGTCCTTTTTCCAGAGCTGATATGTACAGCTAACCAGTGGTAATTTGGTATAGGATAGCATTGGAGGTAATCTTGAGGAAAAGATGTATACCATATAATTATGACTAAGATATTTTAAAATATTTAGTAATCAAATTGAATCTGTAGTTAGTGTAAGCAAAGCAGACTTTGGGAAGTACATATCTTTTAGGGAAGATTTCATGTGTTTAATATATGCTTATGTTGTTGCATGTGATTTAAAGCAAATTCAGGGTTGTTTGGAGATTTAGGTGTTTCACCTTCTTCACTTCTGGGAAGAGAGAGTGAAAACTACTTTGCTCATCAAACCAACAGGAAGTGTTTATGGAAATGATTTGATTTGTGGTAAATTATATGTATATTTTGTGTATATACAAACGTATGTATTATATATATGAATTAGAGCTTTCTTTAAAATTGTGTGAGCAATTATCTGGTAATTCTTAATCCCGATGCATTTTTTAGTGTTTTAATGTTTCAAGTAGCTTTTAAGACCGAGTCCCTGCCTGGTGAAGACTGAGGGCTGCCCGACCGCACGGTGACGCGTTGGGGCGCGGGGCGAGCGGCGCGTCCCCTGGAGCACGGCAGCCCCGGGAGCTCCGGCTGCCTGACCCCCGAGGGCCTTTGCAGGCTGCAGGGGCTCCTCGGCTGGCATGAGGAGAGAGTGTCTGTGGTGGGGGCCAGTGTTTGAAGGCTGCAGTCCGATTAGTTAATCTCTTTGGGAAGTGGAAGCATTGCCCCGTTCATATTAATATATTGTAATAAAAAAATGAAAATTCTCTGAAGATATTTGAATGGATTGCATTAAAATTTTACTGAAGCTGGCTCAGTGTGAGGATTTGCCTTTATGGAAGACAGTTGTGTTGTGTCTTCAGTGAACTCTTACTAAGGAAGCAGTGCAGAAGGAAACCCTGCAGGGAGGCAGCTCAGTCTTGGCTGAGTTTTCAGACCCACTGGGCTGGCTTTGGTAGTACCAACGTGCTGGAGTCTGACAGAGGTGTGAATGGACAGGGTTGGCATCTCAGCAAAACCAAATAGAAGACAAAAACAGACTGCAAGCAGTGGATGATTTAGTTTATATCAGAGTTTTGCTGCCGCTCGTTCATAGGAGAAAGGTATGTTAGAGAAGCTTCTTTGCCACTTCCAATTTAGATGCAAAACATATAGGGGAGAACCATATTTTCTGCTTAAGTCTTCAGTGCAAGGAGAGGTCTGGTAGGAGAATGCTGAACTCTGGCTTTATGGTCAGCTGCAATTGAGTCCTGTGGGTGGTGTTTTTCTATTTCTGCACATTTAGTTAGAATAAGCTGTTGAAAACTTGCTGTTTTAGCAGGAGAAATCTTAAGATTACCTAAGGATGCTGGAAAATGATGTCCCCTCCTTGCCGGTGGCTGAGCTGGGTGGCCCTAGGGAAGTTCAGGAGAATAGTCATGTTTTTTCATCTCTGTTTCGTGGTTGTTGTAGTGGTTATTACCTGCTGCGTTAGTTATCTTGGTTTTTTACTTTCTGCTCTCCTATGCCTGTCCTGGGACTGCCCACTAGGCGAAGTAATGCTCATGCTGAAGCTGAGGGCTCATAGCTCTGGTCTTGCTCCATCCAGTGTCTGTGCTTCGCTTGGTGTGGGCCTCCAGGTAGGCTTCGCGCTGCTGGAAATCGCAGCAGAAATTAAAATTTCACTAGAGCTTCCTGCACTGGGGTTTGTTGCATGTGCTTGCTCACACACAGAGAACACTTCATGAAGTTGGTATAAAATGTGCTGTCATAAATTCATTTAAAGATAAAGATTCAGCTTGTCTCAGCTTAGGGAAAGGATGTGATTTCCTGTACATGATTACTGCTCCGGGACACAGTTTTTTGTCACAAAGCAGTGCTTTTCCATTTGTTCCTGCTCAGACGTATTGGGAGAGAGGGGAGGAAAAAAGACCGGGAGAGGAGTTAAGGGGTGGGTGGTTAAACTGTTGGGCTGGACTCATCTCACGTGTCTTTAGCCATCCCCAAGACACGTGTCAGATCTGAGCCAATTGTCAGCGCTCATTTTTTAGTCAAAAGAAAGAAAGAGGAAAAGTGGATGGTTGAGAACAGGCTCAAGTGGAGGAAGCAAGAAGAATTGCCTGATGGAAACGCTGCTGCCTGTCTATTGACTCTCCAAGGAGCCCATAAAATCGGTGTAAACTAGGCACTTAATTTGTAAATGGCTAGAGTTTGCTGCAATGAATTCATCAAGGCATCACTGTGCAAGACTGAGGATGTAAAGCATTCCAGAATTATCTGACTACCTGCGTATTCCCCATAAAAAGTGTAATATTTATTCCAGTGCACATTAATGAAAACACACTGTAGCTGCAATTTCCTTTTAAATAATGCTTTAAATCGGTAGCTTTTGTAATATAGAAATGGCTGAGTATGTATAGAAGAAACCAGTACCCAGGGCAGATGAAATAAGAACTAAGACCTCAGTAAAATCATTCTGATTGAATCTTACAAGACAGTAATACAGCTGTTAGGAAGAACTTTTATTTTAAATAGCTAATTATAGCCCTTCATGGAAAACCTAAGAGTTCGTTCTGTGTATGTGAGAATTGTGTATCTATTCAGATTATATATAGTGCCGGGCAGACTCTCAGAAAGCAGTATGAGAAGATTCAGGCACTTCATTTTTTTTTCCATCTCTTCCTTTTCCTCTAAGCTCACTGTATGTTGCCGAGATGAACCCGGGGATACAGAAAATCCCTTTCTGTTCCAAGAGAATATAGACCCTATAGCAGTAGATTGGCCTGAAGAAAACATTTTTATAAAAAAGAAAAACCCAGAACCTGTGAGAAGCTAGGAAAGTGCAGTGTGTGCATCTGTACTATTTATCTATCTATAACCTGAAATTTTAAGCTCTGTGCTACAAATTGTAAGGCACAGTGTTAAAGCATTTCAGTGTGAAGAGAGGAAATATTTTTGTTTAAATAAGAACTGAGAGACTGGTGAAGAGAGCTTTTCTAAAAATGCTTTATTGCATTTATTGCTTTAAGATCAGGAGATCTGAAGGGGATGATGGAAAAAGAAATAAAGCTAAGCTGTGTTAGTATTGGTTATCTCCGGAATATTATTTTCAGTGTTTTTGAGTAGAAGACTTGCTGGTGACATCTAAGAAGCAGGGCATTGAAGCAGGCTGCCAGGACACCCCCTGTCTCCAAACAATGTCGCTCTTACTTAGAGTTTGTTGATACCAAATGAGAAAACAGGGTTCTGTGCACTGTCCTAGCACATGCTCTCTTTGCAGTGGTATTTTTAAGGCAGTTTGCAGCAAGAAGTAAGGAGAACTTGATGCCCACATAAAAGAGGAGTGTTCTGATTGATGGCAGTGGGTAGCTGTACGTTAGAGCGCAGACGTGTTCCCATGTTTTAGTATGATTAACTGTAATCCGCTGGGTAAGTTACTGGGTTCAGCACCTGGATTCAGAGAGGCAGGGGAGGTGGCAGCAGCGCTGAAGAGATTGTCATCCCGAGCAGAGAAGGGCCTTTTGGGCACGTGTCAGAACCGGAGGAGCTGTTGTGACCGGCTTCTGTATAATAAACAAACTTGTTTTACAAAGGCTAGGAGCACATTTGGATGGTAGCAACAGCTTTTCGTACTGCTGAAAAGCATTGAGTAGATGGACTATCATGCTCTGCTATCTCTGTTTCTTGAAAATATTTAACGATTAAAGCAGTAGCCTTAATGTTTTTTGTGTTTTTGTTTTTTTTCATGCTGCAGTCTTAGGATGCTTTATCTGTGTAACCTAAGCTTTATAGACTGGGATAATCTATCAACAATGTTAGCGTTTTGTAGTGTATTTCCACCTGTATATGCTTCCTTGTTATTGGGCTCTGAAACCAAAAAACTGTGCTTTAGATTGGCTGATTCTTTTGTGTGTTCTTTTGCAAACTAAGTTGTATAGGCAGTGCAGCAGCATAGGACAATATTTTATTCTGAATCTAAGAAACAATCCCCCCAAAATTCTCTTTTTTGTTCTTCCATTTATATTATAGGTAGCTCAATTGTCTTGGATTGAAAAGAAAGTAGCTACTGCTCTTTTTGGAGCTCCTCCTACTTCCACAGTAGAAGAAGCATTGCAGAATTTCCTCAAGGTAGGTCCTAGCCAAGGGTTTTTCTGTGTGGTTATTTGCCAGCTGCTCTGTGTGACTGTTCCCAGAACGTCTGCTCCACAGATGACTTTCAGTAGCTATAAATTCTAAATATCACAGGGCTGTCTAATATTTATTTTTTCCTTTCTATTTTAAAATTACTTTGGAGACAAATGGCTAAAGCTTTTCTTCTTTTAATTATGTTCTGCAAAATCCTTTAAGGACTTGCCACATTACTTGTTACTTTAATGTGAGATAGGTAATAGATGTGGTTATACATAACACTGCAACAAAGTGACCACAGCAGTAAACTGGTTATTTGCCCATTTTTGCAAGGGATCTAACAGGAGCAGGGAATACTTCTGACGTGAAGCTCCTCTTTGAATTTCAGTAGAAGCTTTTCCTATTTATTTATTTATTGGCAGGGGGTGAGGTGGAGGCTAAGAAATGATCTTTACAGTGAAGCAGAACAGAAAGCTCTGTGTCACATAGGCTCTGGCCATTCTATATGCATGCAGAGTTACAAGCAAGTATCCCATGTGTATAAAATAAAGCTGTCTTTCAGTGTCTTTTATGTGGATCATTTCTATTTGTGAGGCTGAAAAATGGAAGTTTTTTTACATGATTAAGTTCAAAGTGTAAACTTTCATCATTATAATTACTTTCAGACAGTTGCTCTAAAGAATTTCACAAAAGCGTATTTTTGGCAATATCAGAAGTGTTTATTTTCTATATTCCTAGTTTATTTAAAAGTGGAATAATTTCTTGTATTTTAGACTACACAATATATTATAGCTTTCTCTATGTAAGAGATTTTTATCTTTAAGGTCATGATCCAAAGCTAGGAAAAATCATTTGAAATATTCAGTTAGCTGCAGGGCATTTTGTGGTGGGCTTGCAGACCTCATGCTGCAAAGCAGCTGTATTTTCAATCATCTTCTACAACAAAAATTAAACCATTTTCTTAAAGGCAATTGTTTGCGCCTCCTTTTAGATTGTTTGATAATAGACTATTACAGTGAAAGTAGCACTCCTGAGGTCCAAAACATGTAGCTTCTGTAAAGAAGCAGTAAATAAGTGGTTGAAAGAAAAGTGCTTATATTTATTTACCTTATAAGTTCTTAATAAGTTCTTAAGCTTCACCCAAAGTGAAGAATGATGAGTTTCTTGTTTATTTCTTTGATGGAAAAATAGCTATTAATAATGCAGAAAGAAATAGTGTCTTTCAGCTCACTGTACAAATAAATATGTTTTGTTTTCTGTTTAGAATGATCCCTTGTCTTTACAAAGCATTTAGAAAGAGAGAGAGGCCTGAGGAGTTCAGAACATTTTTGTGTTCAATGTCAACATCTCCTGTGCCTGGTTTGGGCTTTTTTATTTTCCTTTAATGCTACATGGACTGTGATGCACACAGTAGGGATGATTAAGTCTGCTGTTTGAGGAAGCTTAGAGCATTGCTAAGAATGTTATGCTAACCACATACATCTCATCACACAATATTGATGTCTATTTTGTTTCCTGTTTTTTGTTACTTAGGCAGAAGAAATGTGCCCAGGATATTCCAAGTCGAATTATGTGTATTTGGCAAAGGTAATCAGCTTCTTTAGAAAATAATGATTTGTAGACTCTGGTATTCTTACAGTGGCCTGGTTAGAATTTTTTTTTTTTTTTCTTCTCAGTGCTATAAGGATCTTGGCCAGAAAAACAATGCACTGAAGTACTGTGATTCTGCACTGTCAATTCTCTCAGTTACTAATGAGGTGGGTATTGAGAATGATAATTTGTTCTCTTGTGACTGCTTTGCTGTTTTTTAGTACTCATTATTACAGTGTCAATAATAACATAATGTTTCACTTTTTCCTTTGAACACAGACCCTTCTTTTCTCCTCTACTCTAGGCTGGCTCATCACAGTTGTCTGTATCAACAGCTGTAAAGAAAATCTTGGGGAACTGTCAGAGACTTGTCTGTGTCTAAGGCTGTCAGAGATTTGACGTGTGAATTAAGCTCTTTGTAATTCAACCCGTTTCATTAAACTGTCTTAAGCACAAGCAGCTGAGTGCGTCACTCTAGCTGTGCTGAGTGTTTTGCCTCACACCTACTCTTTCTCGGCAGAAAGTAGTCTGGATTTTAGTCCTACAATTCCTAGTTCGCCTAAAAACCTGTGGTTTGATTATTGTCAAGGCCTCCCAGGGTAAACTGGATTAATTGCTTGTCTTTGTCTTCAATTGCAGTCTAGTTAGACCCACTTCTTCCAGTTCCAGTTACTGGTTGTTAGTTTATTTTTATAGATGAATGTTATTTTTTAGATCATTTAGAGCATTTTTGTACATGAATGTGAAATTTCTACACATATTGGAGAGATTCAAAGTGGTTTAATCTCTCAAATGTAACCCAAGCCATGGCAAGAAGATTCACTCTTGCTGTCTGATCTCATGTAGAAGCAAGTTCCATAATTAACAACCTATGACTGGAACTGCCTCACCATCCTAAAGCATCACAAGTTCAAACCTGAGCTTAGTCAGCCTAAGGGACCCCCTTTGAGCATAGCAGATGTGGCAAGGCGGGAGAGAGAGAAAGGAGAGATGTGATTCCAGAGAAGAGTTGGCCCTATCTCATTCAGTTCTTTGAAGTTAAGGAAAAGGCCATTAAATAGTTCCATGGTTTGACTGACAAGAAGTGCAGTGTGTGGAGCACTAACATGTTTGTGTGAAATCTTCACGCTGAGAAGAAAGAAAGACCATTGCCTACCTCACCAGCAGCTGCTCCTGGGTGGCCTCTCTTTTCTGCCCAAGTTGGAGTGCATACCAGTCATGACTTAAGCAGTCACTGCTTAGCTTCACTGTTTCTTTAAATATGTGTTGATGTAGATATGATTTAGTAATCCCTTCACTCTATTCTTTACTTACTCTTGCAATGTACCTTCAGTTTGCCCTTTTTTTTACAGAACATGGGAGAGACTGCTATCAATTAGCAGTAATTTTGTGCCATATTTCTCTGCAAAATAAAAATTAAAAAAGTAGGACCAGTGGTTTAAGGGGAAGAATATGCAACTGAAACTGGTTGAGCTCAGCCAAGTTTGTGTATATTTGGACCAACTATGCTGATGATTTTTTGTTTGTTTGCTTTTTCTGTTATAGGCTACGTAATATTGCAATGAACTCTGAAGTCAAAAAATAAGGCATGTAATTGTGAATGCTGCCAAATAAAATTGCAAATACATATATCATAGAAATTTGTAGTGGGAAGACTGCGTGTGTATAGGAAGCTGGAAGTCATTCAGCATATTCATAAAGATTCCTCAAAATATACAGAGATGGCATAGGATGGGGTTCATATCTGCTAAGATTAGCTGGCCAAAAGTCACTAGAGAGAAATATATACCTTTAGGCTGTCATGTTAATGGGAGACAAATCCTGCCTCCAAACTCTAGACATGAGCTGAAGCCAATCTGGGGGTATTTTGTTCCTGGAAAGGGAAAAGCCGTATTTCATTTCTGAAGTGCTGACAGACCTGAAAAGGCAAGGGGTTGCAGTGGGAAGGGAAGAAATGGAGGAGCAATCTGGAGGGTGCACGTGTATTGTGATGAGCAGAGTGGTGGTGAGAATAAGAATTATACTGGTATGTGAACTGAAAAGGAGCAGCAAGTAGCCACAAAAACTCTTTTCTTCATCTGAAGAGGACAAGATGATCTGTCCCCTCCTGCTATGACTAACTTTATAGGTATCACAGATTTATCTGATTTGGCTTGTTACGTGTGATATTTTTTGAGATAAGTTTAGGAACATGACCGCTGCGGGTGCTGTTAACTCCAGTCTCACCTGCATTATAATATTGTGTATTGCTCTGGTTACCGTGTTTGAGAAAGGCTCTCTGATTTTTGGGAAAGATGCGTTGGAAATGCAGTTGTCCAGGGTTTGGAGTTCAGCATAGGAATAACTTTTAGCTGAGGGAAAAGGCTGTGATAATAAAGGGGAGGGAAGAGGCTGTAATAGGAGATTTGGGGGAGACAATAAAAACAGATTCTGGTAAAGTGCTTGGCTTGACTACAGCCCTGTAGAAGGTGGAGTTCACGGACTGTAATAGCAAATGCAGATAAACAGCAGTCTGAGGGCCTCTCCAGTTTGCCACGGCACAGAATGTCAAGGCTGTCAGCAGCATAGTAGGTTGTCACAGTCATGCTAGAAATCTGAGAGTAATCACAGTTTCTCATGTGATTTTTTTTAAACCTCTCTCTCTTCAGGCAGGGGAATTCCTTTATTGCTTTTTAAATGCTGGCTTCTACTGAGAAACATATATATGTATAAAGGCATAGAAGCAGCAGTAGACAGAAAGACAAAGTCGCTGGAAAGGTGCCACATTCAGAAAATGTATAGCATTTCATAATACAAATCACCCTGCAGCACAAATATGAAAAATAATAGTCGATAATGGTTTAATTTTTAGTGTTTCGGAGCATTCAGTTTCCATTGACTTTGGTGGGAACCAGAGATACTTGGCATCAGTAAAACAACCCATAGCTCATTTTAATCCTGAGGCCAAATTCTCAGCTGGGCTAAGTCAAAGCACTTCCCTGACACTCTTCTAGGATTCATTTCATGTAACATTTCAAATAAAGTGCGATGATTCTTGTCTCAAATGCTGTATCACATCCAGTTACCCCTTTTGTGCGTCAGTTCTACCACTTGCAGAATACTTGCTTAATTCCCAGTGGGAGAGGGGCTTCCAAACAGAGTTAATTCTTATTAAAGAAAACAAATCTGATGTCCGGTTTCAACCCAGTGATAAAGCAGAATACCAAAGCAATTGTCAAGAGAGAGACAATTTATTAAGAAAGATTCCCGTAAGTCCTAGTATCGTTTTTTTAAAAATACTCAGTTTGGCACATTCTTAATTAAGCAGTATGCATATATGTGTGTGTGTGTATATAATATTATATGTAATATATATTATATATATATATATGTATAATATTTTTTTTTCTCCTCTTGTCAGGGCATGTCCAGGACACTTGGTGCAAATTAGACCTGGAGAATGAAACCAAAGTTAGAGTACCATGTGAAAGGCCGTTCCCTTTTTCCTCTCTACTCTAAACAGAAAGCTCTGAATCATATATCTTTTCCTTGGCCGTAAATATTCTCGTATCATAGAATGGTGCTAAATGGCTGGAGGTTCACAGGACATTAAATTGCCCTGCTTTTCTCTGGTTGCTGGCCAGGTGGATAACCTCAGGGTCCTGGGAAACAGTCACCCTTCAAAAAAAGAGCTCCTAGTATTCAGGGCTGCATGTGAGTTATTGTCAAGTGTATAATAGCTGCTCTGTTTATCCAATAGTCCTCGCAATACCCGTTCTGAGACTCTACTCATTGCTTTGTAATGCACTCAGAGGCTTGGTGAGTGTGACTACATAAAAGGCTGTTGAAACCAGATGTGGCAGACTACTGGGATGGAAAAAATGACATTTTTAAGCTTGGGGAGAAAAATATAATTTAAATTTGAAAACATGAGCATTGATCTTGCACACAACCTCAAGGTTCTTGTCTCTATGACATTGCTTGAAAATTAATCTAAAAAGCAGCAGTTGTTCTACAAAAAACAATGTAGTCTTGGACTGAAGACAATAAAGCAGGAAAAAAACCAAAGCACATTTATTTGCACTGAAAAAAGTCTTATTTAAAATGCAGATGAAAACCTTGCTTAAATTGAGACTGTATTCCACAATATTATTCCGGGAAAAAAAAAAAATCTTAACAAAACACTCCCTCCTCCCCAGTAACTAAAAACGAAGGAGGTTCAGAGCTGAAAATTATTGAAAATATTACAGATATTACAGAAACTGACAGTTTTGACTGACTTTTTATGTTCATAGCATGGCAGGAAGCATGGGCTTGGTAAGGACTCTGCCATCGAACCCAGTGACACTGGAAAAGCCTGAAACTCTGTAAGGTCATAGAGGTGTATGTAGCATTGCACATTGGTATGTGTGGTAATGGCATGATGTTTGAACAAGAATACAACTGCTGAGGAAAAATCATGTCTGACATTTTCTTATATTTTTTTACTTTACAGTAATTGAGATTCCAAGACACTGATTTTCTTTTTGAATATTGTCTGTAAGGAAAAAGGGATATAAGAAAGGGATAGTAAGGGACACAGAATATAAAATTCAGCACCTGTCACTTGCTTTTGTCAAAATGGAGTATTTAGATACCTTTAATTTCACAAAAATCTTCCAGGATAGGTGTTTTCCAATCTCAGCGCTGATTCTATGTAGCCGACCTTGCTGAGATTTTTCCAGTAGATCTCATTTGAAGCTGATGTGGTAATCTGTATTTCTAAGTAAGATTCTGACAGGAGGAGAAGTAATGTCATTTTGTTTTTAAAGGAAAGGGTGCAAATTGTAACTTATTTGTGAAGAAACCACCCATTGACACTATATGGCTAATTTAGGTTAACCTTCCGCAAAAATGTTTTTGTTTTCTCATTAACCAGAGCATTTTCTTTTCTATCTTCCCTTTTTCCCCCCTATTCAAAAACATATCAAATACAGATGTTACACAAAACAAAATGTGACTGTTTTCAGAGGGTATTCTTTCACTTAGATTTTATGTACATTTGTTCTCAAAATGCCAAACAAAAATCCATAATGTTTCAATTACAAAATAATGAAGTTATTCAGATTAGTATTCATTTTTAAATTCTAGACTGTTGTTTTCCTAATAATACTGTTTTTGAAGTTCAGTAAGGATTTCCTTAAAGCTACCATCAACCCTAAATTAAAGTATCTTTTGAATATTCTGTTTGACAAAAGATTGTTTGCTGCTTAAACAAAAAACCTTAACTATTACTTTAGTTAGTGATTCTGTTTACATGGAATATGAGTTCCTGAAGCTTAGGAAACGGACCTGACAGAAACTCATACTAAAGGGATCCGTTTTCAATCTGTAAAATGCTACTAAAATGAGACAGTTGTAAAAGCGCTGCTAAAAGAATTTGAGAGCTCCTATACTTTGCGTTAGTTAGCTCTTCATAGAAGACGGTCTATTTTTCTCTCTTACTGATCACTGTGCTTTACAGGCTGCATATTTTCAAGTTCTTGGCAAAAGATTTGTTTGCGTAGTTTGCTCTTTACTCCCCTCCTAAAAAAAAGATTTCAAAAAGCGATGAGGATTTTGGTTGCTCAGTGGTGTAGTAATTTCATTAATGTGGATAAAGTCTATTTAACAGTAGTTAAATATCGAGTTTAATGTATGTATGAGGAAATGAACCCATTTATTTCTAGCAACATCCTATCAGAGAATCATCCTCCCCTGGCATGCTGAGGATGAGGGGATAGCAGGAGAGAGATTCACGGAGGTGGCAGCATATATATATATACATATATATATATATATATATATT